ACTGCAACATCGGTTGGGCCGAAGCTGTCGGCTTTGAACTCCTCATCCTCAGCATCCTCCAGACCTCCTAGTCAGACCCACCTCCTTGTTTCAAGGTTTACAGAGATAACAGAGGAGTTGTGGAAGGGTGGTGGAAGGGGCACAGCCGCAATTGTGCAACCAATGCCATCTTTAAACATGTTCACCACGCCATTAGACCCACTGCCTGTATCGTCCTCACACGCTATGTCCCTAGCACTCTCAACCCCGCGGACAACCCATCACATGGAAGATACCCTCCTCGATCCCTCCTTCTGCCCCCCGTTCCTATCCCTTTCCCTCTCAGGAGCCTCATCGTCGACTTCGACTCCCCCACTCACCCCAAAACCCATACCTCATGTGGGAGTGCTGAGCGTGCTCTTGCAAACAGAGCCCTCAAGTGACAAGGGGAGGAACTCTACCAAGCGTCGCAAGCTTAGTACATTTCCATACTTAGAATGTTTCAATAGACTGACCAACACTCCATCAGCTTATCCTACTAGTCTCAACCTGCTCCCTTCCTCACTCCGCCCACATTGCTCAGCCAAGGAGCACCTTCATTTGTGGCTCCCAGCCATGTCAAGAGCGAAAAGAGACTAGACTTAAGTGATAATATGATGCAAGAGATGTCAGAGTGTGAGATGTAAAGGAATAGAGTTCTACTATGTTCTGCTAAGTAGTAAGTAAGTAGTAACAGGTAATTGGGAGGTAAAGTTGTAGGAAAAGTAAGTGGTAAAAATGGAAAGTGAGTGGTAGGAAAAGTAAGTTGGAAAGTAAGTCAAAAAGTAAGTAATAGTATGTACTGCTGGCGCATATATAGCGCGCCTAAGCGCTGTAATGCGGAGCCGAAGTGCTACCGAGTAGGTATGTAAAGATATATATGAGTGAGAGTCCATGATAAAAATAAAGACGGAACAATATGCAAATGAGAGAAATAGAAATATACGCACTAGAGGGCTTGGTGGACAGTGGATGGATGCTTCTGGATGGCTGGCACTATAGGGCGCTCAAGCGCGGGAAGAGTGCGCGCATGGCGCGTGTTGCGTGGGAAAGCTGCGCCTCATATAGGAATAGCTGTGGACAGTACACAGAGTGGTGCTGCGAGTTTGTGCTGTATACTCCCTAGTGGAAACTGCCATATCACACCATGAGAGGCATGATTCTCTACATCGCCAACCTCAAAACGGAAAAAGCGGCGCCCATACACGGTAGAGTTCATTTGCTTCCTGCGTGAACACCTCAACCTCGATTCCCCCATAGACACTTCCATCTTCGGTTGCCTGTTCACCACATTCTACTGTACTGCCTGCGTCAGCAAGTTCATGGTACCTAACCTCTCCGCTTTCGACCCAAACATTCACATCAAGCTATCAGACATGCAGATAGACAGAGACTGCAACAACCTCCAAATGTGAGTATTTCACATCCCATGCACCAAAACAACAGCAGAGGGTCAAGATGTTTTGTTTGCACAACAGAATGGCCCTTCGGATCCTGAAGATGCCTTCCTGAATCATCTCAGAGTCAATGAGCCACCGCCAGGAGGCGCTCTCTTTGCTTATCGGTTCAAAAATGGTCACCGACCACTCACGAAGCAGAAGTTCATAACACATCTTGCCCAAGCAGCTCGAGCAGCAGGAGTGGACCCCTTGCAAGGACACAGCATCTGCATAGGATCCACCCTTGAATATTTACTGTGCAATGTTCCCTTTGAAGTTGTCAAAGCCAAAGGTTGATGGAGTAGTGATGCGTTTTTGCTCTACTTACGAAAACATGCGCAAATTATGGCGCCGTACATGCAAGCTGTTCCCGCATTTCACGAAAACTTCATTAGATTCGCCCTGCCAAGAACCATTCAACCATCCTCTCTCCCATGAGTAAAGTCCCCTTCTCCTACCATTATGGGGTCTTCAGTGTCACTGTGATGCATCGTTGTGGACTCCTACCTTTTAGGGGATTGCAGCTCACATCACCCCGGCAGGTCTTTGATTGGGGCCAGTTAGTGCTGTGCACTATCGCCCATTATCTTAGTGCTCTAGTACCTCTCCAATTGTATCATAACTACGTACCCAATACACTTAAGTGTTTCCTTTCTCTAAGACATTAGAGCGTCCCACAAAGACACTGGTAAATCAGCAAGGATGTAGGATGGATGGACGAACAGGAGTGCAAAGACCTAGAGTGAGGCACTGAACGCGTGCAAGTAAGGCATGCGCATTCATGCGCGAGACTGATCCTTTGGATAAAAGCTGGAATGTATAGAGAATTATGTGGGTAAAATGGCGCATACTCTGTATTGAGACACATGAGTCTCTACACTGTGCTGACTTAGTAGGAACTGGCTTAACCTCAGGAGTCATAAACTCAGAGGCATCAAGCACCATGGAATCCTGAGATGTGTTGTACCTGTGAGCAGCATCCAGGTCCTCTTCAGATGAACCAATCAAGTTGAGTGCTTCAATTGGACTCTTTGTGGAACTAACAGTGTAAATCAACTAAACCTATTCGAGAGTGAATCACACAATTTCAGCTTATTGACTAAATGGTAAATCATTGAATGACATTCATGACAGCTGCTTTTCAGAGGTGTTGTCATCTGAAAGTCCAGTGATCCCTATGATGCTCTAAGAATCATGAATGCACATCAGACCTCAATTTATTGAATTGTTGAATGCTTACCTGCATCTTCCCCTTCCCCTTTTCATTGGCCAAAAGAGATGACAAGTCCTCTTTGAATTTATCATTATCATCATCATCAGCATCTTCATCAATGTCTTTATCTCCATCTTTGTCGGTGAAGGTACAACAATTCAGATGGTGAGTCTGAACAATGTTGGGTCTTGCAGAACCTAGCTGCTATTCGACCCTAAAGGGTTTCTAGACCAGGCTCAAGGTTCAGAGGAGAGGAAATATCATAAAAACTTACTGATCTCTCAGACTCATACTAGTAACTGGTGAAAAGATAACTTGCTTATGTAAGCTACAAAAGTGCCAACATAAGGTAAGGTAAAAACAGTCTCTACCAGCCCAGCCAGAAATGAATCCCTACATCGGATATAGGAATATGTAAGATCTCAGATGAGTCTATTGATGAAGAAGGTAGATTTTTTGCAAGTAAGACTATAGTTGTGACTGTTTGACTTGTTTTTGCTGATGAAACACCCAGAGAGTTGGTAGAAATGGATTCAGTGGAAGCACTATAAACAGAGGAAGGCTTTTCAGCTTTCTCAATCTCAGGATAAACATAAGTATGCTAGTTATGGACCTTGCCTGCCAGAGTATGTTTCTCATTGCTGAGCACCCAAGTAAGTGTCATGAAGTGAAGTATAGACTCTGTGAGCATCAAAAACATGATAGTGAAGAAAAATTACTAATGAGTTAACATTTCGTCGCCATTAGCCTTCTCTTGATCCTGATGGATCTGCCTTGCTACAGCAGCCCTTATGACCTCACATGATATGGTAGGGTTGATCTTCTTTTTCTTCTTTGTCTTTCCTCCTTCATTCCTGACCTTCTTATTTCCAATCACCTTGCTATTGCCTGTACTTACACCTGTACTATCGGCTGCTGTGTGGTGATGCCCTTGAACTGGGCTGGCTTGTGCTAGATGATTCTCTGAGGTGAGTTCAGTCATACCTTACACACTCTTCTTCTTCTTGACTGGTCTAGCCTAGAGTTTTACTGGTTTAGTCTTATTGGTCACCTGAGTCATCTGCTCTATCTCCATGGCAGTCTCAATGCCTATGATTCAATCAATTCCATGCTACAGAGCAGCTTCCTTGATAGCACATGCTTCTAAGGCATGCTTCTTGTCTTGTGCAATTTGGGCTTTGGTGCATCGCTTCTTTTGACCTTTGAAAAGCATAAGTCCAGAACACTAAGTCACATTCTTAGGGCATGTATGGCGAGGAGAAGGAGGAGGTTTTATAGTGGACATGAAAGACAGAAGGTGGCAGAAGAGAGCTGGCAAAGGGTAGACCTCAATAAAAGATAAGAGAATTATGAGCTGCAAAATTCCGACTACTAAATGCAAACAAACATAACCTAGCCTTCAATACTTTACTCAAAACTTCACACTACTTTCTAAGTCTACCTATACTTCAGCATAATAACAATAGAGCACATCTGCTAGAACTAGTACTTTCCATCCCACCAAAAGACTCCTGGGCTAACCACTAATTTCTATAGATAATCAGAGCTGGTACTGGCCATCCTACCAACAAGCTCCCTCACCCAACTCCAAATACCATCAACTCAAGCATTAGCACTAGTATAGGCCATTCCTCCAGCTATTTCTGCCCCATACTAACCATAGAGCAGATCATCCTACTCCTTTGACTCTGAATACTACTAACTCAAATACCACAGTTAGTATATTGAGTCATTCCTCCAGCCGTTTCTGCCCTAGGCTAACCACAGAGCAGATATCTAGAGCTGGTACTGGTCATCCTACTCCTCCTACTCTGAATACTATCAACTCAAGTACCAGAGCTGATACTGGCCATCCTATTCCCCCAACTCTAAATACCATCAACTCAAGTGCCAAAGCTGGTGCTGGCCATCCTGCTCCCTCAACTCTAAATATCATTAACTGAAGTACCAGAGCTGGTACTGGCTATCATGCTCCCCTGACTCCAAATACCATCAACTCAAGTACCAAAGCTAGTGCTGGCAATCCTAATCCTTTGACTCCAAATACCATCAACTTAATCGCTAGAGCTGGTACTGGTCATCCTACTCCTCTGACTCTGAGTACCATTAACTCAAGCATCATGTCCCAGACTGGTCTACAAGAAAGCCACCTGCACCATAAGCCTATTAATCTTCACATTTCTTGCATAAAGCCAGGGTGCAACTATTGGTTTAAGAATCAGTCAGGACACACACAACATATGAACACCAAGCACCTCATGTTTCAGCAATAATCTCAACCAACTTAGTCACTTAGACTCCATTCATCAAGTTCCAGGCTGCCTAATACTATGGATTCAGGTGGTGGCACTACGGACTTTGGTGACACTGGCACCATGGAGCCCATCAATGATGAAGATTCTTCACAACTAATGGTTGAATTTTTTGGTACTGGTGACCGGTTGTATAGAAACTATCACCCTTTTTTGTCTGGTACGTTCTTGTCTCATTGAATTTTTCTCAAGTAATTTCATGTTCATGAACATACAAAGCTCGCCCATGTAATCCAGAAGGCAACTTCCTTCCACCAGGAACACCACTTCTACCATTCACAGACAAGACACTGGAAGACTGGACTCCCTACAAGAGCCAGGTAGAGTTTGAGCTTGCTAATTACTTATTCACCAAGAATCAAACCCCTGTGCATTCAATTGACCATTTACTCAATATTTGGGCAGCTTCACTGATACAAGCTAGTAGCAGATCAACTATCTTTTCAGATCATCACCACATTTACAAGGTGATTGATGATACTCCTCTCGGCAATGTTAAATGGCAATCATTTACTGTTAAATATACTGGTGACATTCTAGAAGAAGGTACTGCACCATGGATGACAGACAGCCACGAGGTTTGGTTCCGCAATCCCTGCGACAATGTTTGCAATATGCTTACTAGCCCAGATTTTGCTACAGAGATGGACCTTAAACCTTACTATGAGTTCGCAACAGAGAATGACAAGCACCAGTGGAAAGACTTCATGTATGGAGATTGGGCTTATAAGCAAGCAGTATGTCTCTTGTTTTCCTGATTGTTTGTGAGTTTTATATCCATTCCCACAGGACATGATTTCTGAGAATCCTGACACTCATGGTTCAATCTCCATTCCTGTAATTCTAGGGAGCAATAAAACAACTGTTTTGGTTGCAACAGGACAAAACAAGTATTATCCTCTCTATGTGTCTATTGGAAATGTTCAGAACAATGTACACCAAGCCCACTGAAATGCCATTGCCATTGTAGGGTTTCTTGCGATGCCCAAAAGTATATATTTGTTAATTTTGTATCTTGTTGTAGTGCTTATATCTCACAAAACAACTGAACAGCATGCCAAGACAAAAGATTTTCAAAGGTTTCATCACCAGCTATTTCACTCATCACTCTTATATATCCTCAAGAGTATGAAGCCTGGCATGACAGTGCCTAAAGTTGCACATTTTGGAGATGGGTACTATCACTGTGTGATCTATGGACTTTGGTCTTATATTGCAAACTATGAAGAGCAAGTATTACTTGCATGCATCATTTGAAGGTGGTGTGCTAAGTGAGTAAGTTTTGTTGATTGTCTATTGTATTTGTTCTGATACCAAGATAGGTGTCTGTCACATTTCAAGGCCCTTGATGAGACCAATCTCCTTTGCTCAAGACTTCACACAGATGTGCTCATCAAAGAGTATGATTTTGATATATTGTAGGCTGAGTATAGTGTAGTTGCTGTCCTTGTGATATATCTAATGTTTGATTTATAATGTATTTTGAATTAACTTGTATATAGCTGTTTACAAATGATTTCCCCTGTGCTGACATCCATGAACTACTCGCACCCAACCTTCTCCATCAAATTATCAAGGGATTGTTCAAAGATCATTTAGTTGAATGAGTTGAGAGATACCTCTTGAAGGAGCATGAAAAGACACAGGCTAACATCATGCTAGATGATATTGACTGATGGTACATTTTATCAACTATAATTTTCATTTAATCTTAGCTTTTTGTAGGATTACAGCAGTTCCTCCTTTTCCTGGCCTACATCAATTTCCACAGGGATGCCATTTCAAACAATAGACTGGTGTGACACTTGAGCTAGCACTGGGCTCATATTCAGCTATTTCATGCATCATGTCAAATGCTCGTCACACAATATTCACTTTCCATTGCAACCCAACACATATCCACCAAACCCGACACTGACTAGCAGATTCGATGTTTTGGCTGCATTGGACCCGATATTTTCCTGTGCACTTATCCTATCTGTGTCCCATTGTAGGGAATGATTCCTGGTTAGCCTTGCAGAAACTGTTTTACCTATAGTTATGTTTGCACCTTAGCTTACATAATCAAGTTATCTTTTTACCAGTTTCACTATGAGCCAGAGTGCTCAGCAGTTTTCTATTATATTTCCTCTTCTCTGAGCCTTGAGCCTGGTCCAGAAACCCTTTAGGGTCGAATAGCAGCTAGGTTCAGCAAGACCCAACACATTGTTCTGAATCACCATCAGAATTGTTGTACCCACACTGTCTTGTCTTGCTAGCCCCACTAGGTGCATAGTTGATTATTTTGCACATTACTCACATCATAGTGCTATTACATGTTTTCCCATTGTCCACAGCACCTCATGTTTATTTACATGTACTTCAGATCCAAAATCTTCGGCTGCTACTTTTGCCTATAGGGTTCAAGATTTCTACGTACTTATATATATATATTGGTTTCCACATAGTATATCCATCATTCAAGTAGTAGGGAGCTATTTCCCAACACTTTGTGGTTATACCTGATATTTCGTAGTTCTTAGTTGATATTGCGAAATATTACCACTCTTTCTATCCAAAATACCCATCATTATCAATAATCCACATATTGCTCACTTTCCCAATGTTCACTATCACTGTTCCCCATAACCTGCTAAGCCCAAAAACATCAGACCCAACACTTTGGCATTGGACATTGTAATTATACCTTCGGATATTGTTTCTTGCACTCAGACTTTTGACAGTTTATTGATTGACTATCTACAGACTTATTCTAATAGCTAACCCCTCAGGTCGAACACACTTGTCTAGCAAATATAGCAGACTAGGCTGTGCAAGACCATAACACATTTTTATATTGCTGGTTACTTACTTCATGTAGTATCCAGCAATTGTTGTATTTCTACACCAGGGATGATTCAAAGGCCCTCATAAAGGTATTTTATATTTAATTTGTAGACTAATGTAACACTAACTGTATCAAGATGTACTTGCCAGTGATTGAGGGCCATGTTCCCAAAGATGTTGTGTGCACATTCAGTGCCTTTCTTGAGTTTTGTTATCTCGTCCACCATAATGTACTTACAGAGAAGTCCTTCAAGATGCACTCGCTGGTTTTCACTGGTATTGCTACATTTTCAAGACCACTGGAACCATTACAATCTTTTCTGTTCCATGACAACACTCAATGACCCATTATATCTGTTGTATTCGACTCTTTGGTGCTTTAAACAGCTTGTGCTTTTCGATTATGAAGTCAAAGCACATCAAGGCAGTTAAGGAACCTTAGAGGCAGTCCAGCCATTGTAATGCACTAGATCAAATTCTCCTGACCAATCAGCATCTGGATAAGTTGGCAGCATCACATGTGGATTTCCGCACTTGTGGGATGCTCTCAGGTATCTGCTTATTGTCTGTTCTTGCAGCACTTGGCATACATTTATTTCTACTTTTTTTACTACTATTTAATTACGATCTTCATAGCTAGAACTGTCAGCAGGTGCACCTGCACAGGCTGAGCAACCTGTGTCCAGCAGTGCAGAGGAGCATGATCCAAACTCACAGGGACCCATTGTGCACTAAACCACTAGTACACCTGATATTGATATTATTGTTGACTCTGAGAATATTGATGCACCAACTTCAGTTCTCACACATGTTCAACTGGCCTGAACATCTCATAAGTTTTTTTCTTATTTGCATATTGTCAATATACTAAGTACTACTATCAATACAAACAGAAGGGAAGAAGCACGCCCAGACTATTTCTGCACTAGCCAATGAACTTGTGATCCCACACTTGGCTGATCTCATTCAAGATTTCCTCACCAAGCAGCTGTATCTGGATGTGCGCCTTGTAGAAATCCCTAAAAACGCTATGGACTGCACTCATTATGAAGGAAGAAGTCAAGTGTTCAATTCTGCAGTGTTGATGTTCTTCATGCCAAGTGACTTGAGTGATATTGATGGGATGAAAAATGAGCACATTTGTGTGTCCCCTAACTGGAGAAATGGGTATGCACACAGAGATTATGTGTTTGTCATTACTGACTCAAATGCTCATGGAATGCGAGGCATGGATGTTACCCGAGTACTAACCTTCTTTTCTTTTCAACTTAGGGACAAATATTATCCATGTGCCATTATCTGCTGGTTCAACTGAGTTGGCAACATACCAGATGACAAGACAGGCTTGTGGATGGTGGAGCTGTCATTTATTGATGACCATACACACTTTGTGGTGATTCATGTGGACTCAATTTTCTGATCTGCCCACCTTATTCCTGTCTACAGTACTGAACCACTTGCCCTATTCATTAAATCCCAACACATCCTCGATGTATTCACTCTGTTCTATGTGAACAAATATACTGACATCATGCCTTCAAAATAGCTTGTTGATTACTGACTTTTTTCTTTGTTACTTACTTTTTTGCTTTTTTTGCTTTTGTCAACTTATTCATCTATTATATGTTTGTGTTTTTAAGTCTGAAAAATAGATGTGAAAAAGTGAAAATGAGTAACAGGTCACTTATTTAAGTGCTAAAAAAGCTAGAAAAGTGAACTCATGATTTCCTGATGTACAATGATCTATAATTTGTGAGTCAGCATTGCGATTATTTTTATGTATCTTGGCTTAACTATTCCAGCACTGAACCCATATGCTGGTTATGTTTTTATCTACATGCTCAGGGTGAAGACCATGTTTCCTGCATGTGTGTTTCTTGTCGGATGATATTAGTGCTGTCTTTGATTGGTGGCACTGAAGCAGGCTGGAGGCAGTTTTTCCAACTGAGCTCTGAAACCACAAGACTACTCCTGTGAAACCTTGAGTCCAAGTAACAGAAATTAAGCAGAGCAGGGAGAATACAGTATGCATTTTCCTGCAATGGATAGCTTAACACTTGTCAGACTGATTGGTTCTGTATGTGACATATAGTTTTGGTGAGTTGTTTATGCTGAACAAAAAGAGCAGCTAGTTATGTTTCTATGATTCTAGCCCTTATGGATATATTTCACACAATCAATAGCATTTATCATGCTTCCACTTTTGGAAGGAATCTGAGTTCGGTGTGTATAAGTTTGTGATAAGCATGATTCTACTCCTTGGTGCCACTGTGTCATATCCCATATATTCACGCTTCTCTTCCGGACTTTGGACCCTGAGATCCGATCCGGTCTGATGTATAGATCCGCTTCCGATCTGATTTACAATAAGCTTTCTAATTCATTTCCTGTTCATATAACGTTAAACACAGCCTATTCGGCATTTCCTCTTCCCGGTGTTTCGGTTATACTTATTACCGGTATGCTTACTGATCCGTTAACCTATGTCTCATTTCCAACTTGCGTTTGATAACCTTTGCACATGCTTCATACATAGCCTCAGACCTTTGCTTACTGATACTTCCGTTATCCTCATAGTATATAAACTCGTGTATATGTCCTGTAGTACCTCAGTTCGAATATCATCTTAGTTTGTCCTCTTTCTGTGCTCCGGACTTGAGTCCTTCTTACTCTTGTCACCCTCCGAGACTTCGGATAGATTCCAATAGTCTATATACTCGGCTCTACCTTCGGGTAGTCCTTACTCTGTTAGTTTCTAGTTCGGATATGTCCGGATTAGCCTTATACGTGTTTCCGATATCCGGAAGACATCCGGATATACTACAAGACCCGTCCGGACCTTTGGACGCATTATCATTAGTACTTTGAAATAAGGGACAGTACTTGGGAAAGGGGCACAGTGTATGAGCTGAGGCCGAAGTCCTTCGGATCCGACCCTACGAGAGTACGACCTTAACACACTGTAGGAAATAATTTCTGGCTAGCCTTGCAGAGACTGTTTTATGTAGTAGTATGTTTGCACCTTAGCTTACAAAATCAAGTAATCTTTTCACCAGTTTCCACTATGTGTCTGAGTATTCAGCATTTTCTATAATATTTCCTCTTCTCTAAGCCCTGGTCCAGAAACCCTTTAGGGTCGAATAGCAGCTAGGTTCAGCAAGACCTAACACATTGTTCTGAATCACCATCAGAATTGTTGTACCCACACTACCCACTCAATCAAAACTGCCTACATAGGAAGGGTACCAATGAAGAAGGGCTGCACCAGAAGAAATAATATGATATTGGACAATAATGACAGTTAGCCTGAATTGAATGAGAGCTCCAGCAGTAGTATCCTGCAAATCTCATTAGGAAATGAATCAGTAAATTCATACATTCCTTATTACCCTTTTCTGTGCTCAAAATTAAAAACTGAATTTAGCTTCTCTAATTGTCCCCTGGTTTTAGTAAGTTACTAAAGTAAGTGTGTGACTTTAGAAGCTCCTGTAAGGGCAGAAAGGCATACAAACAGGGAAAGTGACAAAAGTTAACTACACAGTATACCAAGCTGCAACTAAGTTGTTTGCAAGTCAAGAAGTACAAAATATTCCAATGATCAAAAAATGTAATTATATAGGTTTCAAATCTGCTCAGTCTAGGATAATTAGATTTTGAATCTATTGTAGCAATAACATGGCTAAGACTTTTTTTTAAGGAAATGATTCATAAAGAAATGTCAGGGTGTAATTTCATAGAACAAAAATAATATCATCAGCAGATTTCAAACCTGTGCAATCTAAGAGAAACAGATTTTGACTTGGGTGACAACTGGACTAAAGACCAATAAAAATAAAGGTCTGAGATGCCGTCTATGAGCAAATATTTGAGGCATATTCTTAGAAAAAAAAGTGATGTTTCACTGGTTTTAAACCTATTGCACTCCAACAGAAACAGATTGGGATTCTGTTACAATAACCACTTGGCTAAATACAGCTCTAATCAGCTAGTAAGCTGACTGACCATAAGCATATGCCAAGGTGTACCTTCATGGAATAAAAATAAAAATGTTATCTTTAGCAGGTTTCAACCCTCCATAGTTCAAGAGAAACAGATTTTGACTCTGGTAATCACTTGACAATTTCATCTTTAGTGGGTTTTGAACTCATGCAGAGAGATTGGATTGTGTCATATCAACTGCTTGGCCAAGACCAGTCAGATTCACTTCTAATGAACCCATTCAGAAGTGAGTCCTCAAGGTACATTTAGCTGGATTTTGTCAGCTTTTTCAATAGCATAGTCACTATTGATTTTTTTATCCTACTTCTATTGCAAAAGACACAAACTTTCTGCTGGGGTTCTTGACTTCAACACCTGTTTATCTAACAATTTCCCTGAAAAAGTGCTGATAGAAGTCCACCACAGTGGGTTTATGAGTGAAAACTGACAATGAAAGGATCACACTATTACAGTAACATGGCATGAGCCCCCAGCTACCAATATGCCCTCTGCCACCCTGCACGGCAACGATACGATACCTATGTCAGAAAAATCTAAACCTACCTTGGAAGGCGTCTATCTTTAGACGTCATTTCAGCACCTTCCAATGGCATTGCAGCCGCAATTCCAGACCCTTCCATGGACCTTAGTACATTTTTGGCACTTCAAATGACTGGATGATAATTTTAGCTACTCCCAATTAGCTTCAGCCGCTGCCTTTCGCCAGCGGTCATTCAATGCATATTCTTGTTGAAGATGACTTATGTACAAGATCTCCAGTTTGTTCCTCCATCTTTTCTGAACATACTGTGTACTACCATGGCGCCACAGCAACTTCAATTGCTAGCAGGTCCTGGGCCATCTACTTCTGAGCTGACATTATCTAAATCTGGTCCAGGGGCAGATTCAAATCAGGTGTTGTGCAAATACTGTACTCGTTCCTTCACGTCTCGGGGTATCACGTCGCATGAGAAGAGTTGTTTGGAAAAGCAGAAGAAAAAGAAAGAAACTAAGGAGTTCGCAAAACTGGCTGCAAGAGCGGTTGAAGCACAATGAAAAGGTATGTCTAAATTATGTTAACATTCTGATTAGTTTTATCTGATCATTTGAACAGAACAGCACAAAAAACGTCGTCACAAGGAGCAAGACGCAGCCCGCCTGAGCACTGTCTCACAGAGACCCCTAGGCCAGCCAGGAGAAATGCACTCAGTAGAATCTGTCATCGATGTTGCAGGATATGAAGGAGATTACGGCGATCAGGATCCCTTGAGCATCGAAGGCTTGCATCAACGTGAGTACTACCGCATATCACTAGACTTATTGCTCTGACTAATTGATCGATGTTAAATAATAAGTTTCCGACTCTGATACAAGCATGAAGAGCATTGCTGGACTAGCGTCCGAGAACAAACCTTTGCCCGCTGTCCCTCATCCTGATTTCAACAAATTCAAGACGGAGTATCATCCAAACAGTGGTCGACCTACTGTCATTGAAAACTTTTCAGTTTATGGATGTGGAGATGCTGTGCCTCCGTTTGTCGACAATTCTCCATGGCTTCCATTTTCATGCTGTGCAGACTTCGAGTTTGCTGAACTGGCACACCGAGCCGCTCTCAGCAAGGAACACATGGACAAATTTTTGTGGCTTATCTGGAATGCTGTCGATGGTCACGCGAAACTTACATTCAAGACTCATGGTGATGTATTAAGAGCATGGGATAAGGCCTCAATGCAGATGACACCAGTAAGTTCTATTTTATTTCAAAAGTCTCGAATCTAATTATTAGATACAATTATAAACTTTAGTTCGAGAAGCATGTTATATCTGTAGATTATCAGAAGGGGACACTCGACTTTGATGTGTATTCGCAGCCATTATGGGACTGGGCTATGGACCTGCTCAATGAGCCCATCTTAGCGCCGCATTTTGAATGGAATGCCCAGCAGTTGTATAAGCATGATGGTACTCGGTACGAACAATTTATACACGAACCTTGGACTGCAGACCATTGGTGGAGGATCCAAGTATGCACATAATGTCGCTCATTACCTTACGCGGAACTAACTTGTATCATTAATTTACTTTGTTGTAGTCGTCATTACCTAACAATGGAGTACCATTTTCCTTCATTTTGTATGCAGACAAGACGCACTTGTCATCATCTGGCAATGTCAAAGGATATCCGGTAATTTCCCGGTGCGCGAACCTGCCAGTTGGCATTTGAAATTGTGCAGGAATAGGTGGTGGTCGCCTCATGGGCTTGTTACCAATTGTATGTTTCAGTTTCACCTCAAATGTTGCTTGTTGTGATTGTACTGACTTGTGTTATTCTTTGACAGGTGCCTGAAGACGCAGAAGAAGACCACAAGCTCTCCTACACAAATTTAAAGCACGTCGTTTGGCATGAAGCATTCTTAAAGTTTCTCGAGGTCATCATACTTTACTCTAAGACCGGATTTGCCCATAAATGCTTCAATGATGTCGAACGGTGGTTATACGCACTGATTCTGCTATTGTTGGCTGACTATGAAGAACAGTAAGTATACTGTCTACTTCTAGCTTACAGTTATTGACATTCCGACAGGTGCGTGATGGCATTAATACAGGGGACGGGCTCACTCTGTCCTTGTCCCATCTGTCTTGTCCCTTCATCAAAACTTTGCGACCATACTGTGACGTACCCTACCCAAAAAGTTGAGGATGCACAAATTCGCATCAAGCTCTACGAGGAGAACCGTGCCGCAGGAGAAGCAGCCCTGAAGGAGCAAGGTCTATGACCTGTTAAAGTACGTCCTTTGAATATTTCTCTATGTCTCTCTTACATACTCATGTTATCAACTGACATTATCGCTAGAATATATTCTGGAGAGTGGAAAACTCGAATCCCCATGAGACAATCTCCCAGGACCCTTTGCATGCCTTTCAAGGCGGTTTATATGGTTACCACATCCATGAAGAGGCTAAGAGTCTTGCAGAACTTCTTGGGCGCAGCGCTCTCAAGCAAATTGACGAGCAGTGAGTTCTATCCTTTCATCATTAGCATCTTTTGTTCATATCTCATGTGAAGATTTGATGCCTTTCCACGATGGAGGGGTCTCAATCATTTCCACCGGGTCACGAACATTAGCTTTAGCGATGGGAACAAATTCCAGGATATTTCCAAGGTACATCTTATTACCTTGTTGACAAACTTTACGTTCTTATATGACTATTTCAATAGCAATTTCTGTTTGCTGCTCATAATGTGCTCACGAAGCAGAAGAGCAAAGCTGGGTACATGCTCTTGCGCTGTATTGCAAGTTACCTAAAGGTAGACATGTATATCTTGCTCGACACTCAAATGGAGAGCACTCTCGCAGCTGGCGAAGCAGCTTATGTGGAATTTCTGAAGTGTTTGGACATGCATACTAATGATTTTATTCTGTTGCTCATCTAATTACAGTAATACAGGAATATTGCAAAGTTGCAGGTGATTCGACCAAGAATTGGAACTTTCCAAAGGTACACGCTGGCAAGCACATATTTCACGACATACGGGAGAAAGGCGCCGCTCGGAACTTCAGCACTCGTCCCAATGAAAAGCAACATGGACCACTCAAACGGATGTATTTACGCCAGACGAACCATAAGGACATTGCAAATCAGGTATGATTTATTTATCAATCATTTACATTCTTATTTTTCTAAGAAAGTCTACTTAGCTTCTCCAATTAGATCATAGGACACTCGTTTCTGAGCTTATTGGTGGCCGCATTGCCCAGCTTGATGAACAGCGTCTTCGGGAACTCAGGGATGCTGACAACAACAACAACGATCCAGACGACAATGATGACCCTGAGGATGCCACACATATTGGCGTGTCATTTCAGGGCCATATCTATCTCGGTTCTCCCCAATGCCCCACCAGTTTTGCTGATGTGGAGGAAGCAAATAGCTCGTCACGCGCTTTCGACCAATTTTGGAAGAAGTTTTCGACGTTCATCAATGAATTCCTTCCTGCCCATGACATACCATTACCTGATGGGAAAATGTGGTTGAGGCCGGCAGCTCAAGACAAGGTGAGTTCAAGTTGTTTGTTTTCCAGTGACACTGACTGAACTATATTTCTTGCAGCTACAGGAATATCGCTACCTCAAGGTGCACTACGAGTCTGTCGTTGACTGGAAGCTTGCTATGGACTATCTCCGTTGCAATCTGAACTTCCACGGACACGAGCGCCGTGACTGCACACTTATTCATACTCACGACAAGGACGGCAACAGCAAGAATATATTTGCCCAAATCTTGTTTATGTTTAAGTACAGTGTTGGCGACCAATGTTTGGATCTCGCTCTTGTACTTCCAATGGATGCTCCAATTGGCCCACGGCCCGCTGTTGATCAGGACCTGCAATTCACTCGGCTGCGTGTATGGCCTCCAGCATCTTCGGAGTTCCTTTCCATTCATTCAATCATCCGTGGTGCTTTAGTTGTTCCAGATTATGCTAATCCTCTTTGAGACTTCTTTCTTGTTGATGTTGTTGATTCTGACATGTTTCTTCGCTCTCAACAAAACCTTTTAATATAGTTGTACAAAATGTCCACACTTCACTATTGCAATGAGTATTTCATTTCCTGATACTCTTTCTGCAGGCTCCCACTGTCTGATGGGGACCCTGTTCCGCAAAACTTGCACAGATTTCAACAAAAGCAGTGCACAGGGTTAGAAGTGATGGTGGCATGCGCGTTGTCTTTGACGCAAGTGATTCCATGGACCAAATGACAAGGATGAGGATGAGCAGGAGCAGGAAGAAGATGTGGACATCAGTTACCTACGAAGTGTGTTGAAAAGTTCTCTTGGACGATAAGATACTTACCATTATATTAATAGGTTCTCGACGATAAAGTGATCTCCCATTCACCAGCCTCCTTGCCAAAGACAGCCTCAAGCAGGCAACCCATTACCCTTTTCCTCAAGCCCAAATTCTCCAGCAAAGACTAAATATTTTCAATACGAAGGTAAGTTTCACTCTTACTACTATGATGCAGTGGTTGACCTTCTTATAGTTGGTGAGTATCTGTACCCTGATGGCCAACAATCACCTCACTCGAATACAGTGATCTCCGGCGGCAGCAGAGATGTGAAGAACGCCCGCAGGAGAATTGAAGTGTTTGAACAGCTCTAGAACCATACTGATCCGGAACTATTCATGCCGTGCTGTATCTTCGACAGCGCCATTATTATGTACTCTCCCTGTGAGCTCCCACTGACCGGTAGGGACTCTCAAACTCTAAGAGTCAAGTCCTTCGAGTCGGAACTAATAACTGATCTCTATCTTTGGTTGCCAACAGTTTGACATTAATATGTCTGACAAACCCCGAACAGATGGGTCTTCCCCAACATGCGGAATCCTACAGGTATACCTGAAGAAGGTCGCTGCCGAACCTATCAGCTTCAGGTATGTACTTTCTAACGAGCGAGTTTTTTTTCGCTTACTGTCGAATTATAGTGCTTTGCAAGCATTCATCGAAGGAAAACAGAGAAAGCAGACCCCTCAGGTACTGACTGCCATCAATGTTTTACAGCTAATCATTCACCAAGCTCCCAATCTGTGCGTTGCACCTTTATTTACGGCCATCGGTCACAAGTAGACTTATAATGAAATACTCGTGTTTTGTTACAAAGACACCGGCATCACTTCAAATCTTATCATTTGCTGCAGACGGAAATGCAATAGGCGTGTATCTTTACCTCAAGCCAAGGCTGCTTACCTGACAACCTTTACCTATTATACATGCAGGATGAGTACAAGTACATATTTGTGCACAAGACAGCATTCTGGTGCGTGATTGGATCTCATTCAATATAAAGTCCATTATGTTGATTCGAATCTCTTCAGTTCACTGTTGCCAACCGACTTTGTTTCAGAAGTCTCAGGTCCAGGCATATTCATATCTTCTTGTCAATACCATGCCTCAGTGTCGGGACTCAGCGCTAGATCACTTGTTCAACAGTAGCTCAGGTTCCCACTCAACAGAGTCTGACTCTGACGAGGAGCTTGCGCAAATTCATACAGCTATTGCTCCTCTTCTGGACTCTGCATCTCCTCAAGAGCTCCATCAGGTAAGTCTTTCCAGGCCTAACTACTTTATATTAACTCAATACAATTTTTGACCAAAGGCACTTGCAATCACGCAAAAGCTCTTACTCAACACACGCAGCCGGTGCAGAGAGTTGTTGAAGAGGAACACCCTCCTTGAGACTTTAGCTTCTCATGGCCGGAAGAAGCTCACAGCAAATGAACTTGCCCTAGCAGTGAAGGAAGACACTATCAAGGCTCATGGACACAAGTACTCCATGACTCACTGTCTATGGATTGACACGCACCTGTTCCCTTTGTGCACCTGTCCCAATATAGACCTCTCTAGCAAAGAGCACTGGCTCTCTCCACTCTCTATCGAGGATGGTGTCAAAGCCGAACTATTCCTCTTCATTCCTGAGACTGACCATGAGTTGATGAGCCACAAAAACTTTGGGCGCAGTGTACGTGTCACTATTTTTTGCGCAAACTTCATTGAATCTCATTGTAACTCGCTTAGTTTGCAAAAGGCATCAATTCTGTTCGCTCCGAAATGGTTTCTGATGTCAAATCTTGCGCTGGCGCGATCTTTACCATGAGCTCGGACATTTTTCTCGCAGGCTACAAGCGAAGTACTGAGTCCAAATACCACACCTTGCTTGTGAATACAAATGACGCTTACACCAAGTTTGCACCAATTCTATTCCCTAATCCTGAGAATCCATCATCACAGACATTTCTAAAGACAGCCTGGCAGGCTTGTTCAGGTTTGTCTTTCCTTTCATTTACTAAATTACATGCATCACACAATGACTGACCACAATTATAATACAGATTTTGAGAGTCTTGATTTTCGGCAAGAGTTCACTATCTTCGAAGTCAATCCCAGCCAGAAAAACGAAGGTGAAGATCTGGGAGCTGTGAACTACAACTCCAGGCATGATAGCAGCAGCAGCTGTTGTTGTAAGTTACTTAATAGACTGTCTCATTAGTGTTTCACTCATTCACACTCGGTTTTCAGGCGATCTTTCTCCTCTCTGGTGACAAGGACCTCCTTCCAGTGGGAGCCGAGAGTCATATCCCATATCATGAGTACCACAACTGGTACCATTGAAGGTACAACCATTCAGATGGTGAGTCTGAACAATGTGTTGGGTCTTGCAGAACCTAGCTGCTATTCAACCCTAAAGGGTTTCTGGACCAGGCTCAAGGCTCAGAAGAGAAGAAATATCATGAAAACTTGCTCAGCACTCAGACTCATACTGGTAACTGGTGAAAAGATTGCTTGATTATGTAAGCTACAAAAGTGCCAACATAAGGTAAGGTAAAAACAGTCTCTACCAGCCCAGCCAGAAATGAATCCCTACACTGTCAACGATTGATGAGCGGAGACAAGTGGTCTAAAGACGTTATTGCATTTTTCAATAACTCAATTTTTTCAACTTCCCACTCTACAACTATCAACGACGACATTACACAAGGCCGCCTGACTGACACGTGGGAAGAAGATTTTGAACGTGCCTTTGAAGATGGGGTGGAAGGACCTGTCTTTCATGCCAGTGCTCCACCAGCACTATCTCTGCGCCCCAATGAACCTTTGCCTTCCGTCGACAACACCGAGACTAGTCCAACCATTGCACCTCAAATTGGACCCTCGGCATCTATCTCTACTGCGATGCAACATCTAGTTCTATGTAGCTTCAGACACACAGGATCAAGTAGTGTCAGAGCATGACACCAATACTGATACAATAATTGCCGACACCATTGTGAAGCCCAAGCCTAAACCCAGACCCAAGGCCAAATGTGGGAAAGGCAAGGCTGGCCTTGATGATGATTTCAAGTTGACGGAAGCTAACACACGGAAGTCTTCACGGAAAAGGTCATGATAGTCCGTCCATAGTCACATAAATTGGTACCCTCACTCGAAGTTTCATTTAAGCAGTGTTTAAATTGAATCCCTCTGAATCCTTCATATCTTGTTACTCAGAAATATCATCTAATATATTATGGATCCATGTATTCTATGGTGTCGAAATCCTCAAGTTCATCCCAATTGCCTTTGGCATTTGAAATGCCTTCCAATTGGGGATAAGTACACACAAGGCCAAATAAGACACATGTAAGCGTCTTGGACTGCACTTGCCACTTACTTAAAATTTCCACCATGAATCCTCATCATTTCTCATGCCATCCGTCGACGCTTTGACGACAAGCTTGATTATTCTTACCTCTGTAAGCTCTTTTGCGACCTTCTTGTTTGCAAAGGCTTCTGGTATGCCAACTGACTAATATGCATAGGGTAACAAGTCTTTTGTTGCTTTCAGCAACTTGAGCAACACTGAGTCACTCACAAAAATGTGGAAGGTACATAGTTATATTCAATCTCTTTCACCCTTTTCACTAACCCCTTTCCCTTTCATAGGTATGCACCAAAGTTGCTTCATATCTCGAGCAGGGTCAATGCCTCGAGAATCTTTCTTGGCGGCTTTGGCACTTGCAAAACCTCATGGTCGACACCGACAATGCAAAGTCCAAATGCGAGTTCAAGAAACTGTCAAAAAACATGGGCGACAAACTCGACAAGGAGAAGGGCCAGTATGTCTCCTTTCACTCCGCCACAGCATCTAAATTAATATCCTTCTATAGTGCCATTGAATCTCTCAAAGCACCTGACTTCAAACGAAACACTTCAACCAACCTCATCCATCAGCGAGCTGTCAAACACGAGCATTCCCAGGAGGCTTCCCAAAACACCTGCCCCAGTATTATCAAGCAAACACAATCTACATTCAGCACTGACGCTTCCCCTGGCTCCTTCCCTGCAACCTCCTCTTCGTCCTATACCTTCTCTGGCAAAGGGTCTATTTGATGACAGGCCTGATTATTCCACTAGCTCTTCTGCAACCTTTTCATTTGCAAAGGCTTCTGGTATGCCTCGCTTGCACCCTCCGCTTTGACGACAAGCCATATCTCTGAAAAATATTCAAGAAATTGCTCGTAGCCTATCAAAATTCATCATAGGGGCTATTTCAGCTGTAGGACAGAGTTGCAGCAGAGTGAGAAAGGAGTGCTAAGAAGAAATATTCAAAATTGATAGATAGCATGTCTAGAAGAGTGGCAGAAGTGATTAGAGCAACAGAAGGTCACATAAAGTATCATAATTATAGAGATTGTGTTGATCAAACTAAAAGTCAAAAAAGTGTCTCAATGAGTCACCAAATTAAAATAGCCATATCTGCACATGATGACATCATCTTCCCACGCTATAGGGGACTTAAATGAGGCTAAGAAGTATAGCTTTATGACACCCCCCTATAGTTTAGTCATATTCCTACACCCTGGTGCATAATAAAGCAATTACATGAAATGTTACAAACATTGAGACACTTTTTTGAGCCACTGTAGGTCTCTAGGCCTTGATAATAGAAGAAGAGAAGACCGGAAGATGCCAGCTTAGATAAGCGGTCTGGACCGCATATGATGACAGATGACGACATAGATCTAGATGACCTATTAATGATATCAAGATAGAAGGCAAGCCTCATGGTTGCCTCGTGTACTGATAGAAGGATGCCTCGCGGTCCTTATCATAGATAGAAGCCTGCCTCATGCATGTTATCTCTGACTCGATAGATAAGCAGATTAGAACCCAGCTTCAAGCTGAGCTTAGATACGATAGAGTAGCCTTATATAAAGTTGACGATTAAAGTAGATGTTCCTTACTTTAATCTTACTGGGTTTTACCTTGAACTCCTTGACTTGCTAAAGCTACTTGCTCGACATTCGATCCGCACCTTCGGAAGGACTTGAGATCCCTTCTGTCTGTAACTGTTACTATTGCTCGCCTCCGCTAGCATACATAACTCTTGCTTGTTTGTAAGAGCCGACCTTGGACTCTCAGCACGAGGTATCACTGTTAGATCACTCCAGTTCGCATGTGACTCACTGTTGTAACACACACAGTGTATTTTTGATACAGAGTTAAATATATGACCAAAGTCTTGATGCAAACTCAGAAGGATAAGTACAATAATAATATAATTCTTTCCAAAGATCTTGGCTTGGTTGAAGAAGAAAAAGAGCAGATTACATATCAAACTTTCAAGTTTGATCCTAATAATCTGAGGAATTAGGAAAAATACAAATCTATTAAGGCTGAGATTCTTCAATATACTTATTCAGGTGATTGTCAGAATCGAAATATATTTCTCTTGAACTAAGCAGCTTTGTAATCTATATAATCATGTGTTTTTTGTATTAACTCATGATTCATCATGTTCCACCATTTTGGATTTCATACAATAAAATGTTGTTATTGGTAGGTTTGAAACCTGCATAGTTCAAGAGAAACATATTTTAAATCTGGTGACAACTTGACCAAGACCAATGAAGATCAATTTCTGAGATGCTGTCTATGAGCAAATATTTAAGACCTGTTCTCATAGAAAAAATGCAACACTTAACAAGTTTGAAACTTGTTGCACTCTGATGGAAACAGATTTTGATTCTGTTATGACAGCCACTTAGCTAAACACAACTGTAGTCCAACAGATACAGATTTTAACTCTAGTGATCACTTGACAATTTCATCTTTAGCAGGTTTTGAACTCATGCAGACAGATTTGAATTCTGTTATATTAACTGCTTGGCTAAGACCAGTCAGATGCACTTCCAATGAACTCATTCAGAAGTGACTTACATACTTTTGCCTATTTGCTGTACTTCTGACTTGCTTCCGTGTGCTGAGAGCACACTTAGAATTACTTACATAGCACCATGTATCTTTTGACTCTAAACAACTTTCTACCACCATCTTGCATATTGTGGAACTCAAAGTCTAAAATACACTATAACTGCTATTTGACACTAAGCACTTGAAAGCACCTAAGTGCAGAATGCCACACTATTGTATAAATACTTCTGCTTTATCTCAGAACTTCCTCAGGTTATTAGAATCAAACTTGAAAGTTTGATGTGTAATCTGCTCTTTTTCTTCAACCAAGTCAAGACCTTTGGAGAGAATTACTTATTGTTCTAAGTTTGTATCAAGATTTGGTCATACATTGAACTTTGCATCAAGGATACTTGCATTTGTCTCTGGTAATTTTTAAGCAACACAGATTCCTAATTTGTGCATAAAACCAACAGCAATATCAATCAAGCTAGAGATCATCAGCACTAGATGAGATAAAAGGAGCAGAGATAGTTATTTTACATAAATAAATCTTTGGGCCTGGTTGGATGAGAGAGAATTTGATATCTAAGCGTGAGGGGGCCTGATCCTTGTATTTTTATATCACCACCTTCAGCCCAGCTATGAGATTTCATCTTATCACACTGGGTGCAGACATCAATTTCTAACATCCCTCTTGGGCCCAATAATATGTGATTTTTTCATTATTATTTGTCACTTGTGGCTTGAATATTAATACCAAGACATTGCAAACATCATGGGCCCATCATGGTGGTCTACCATTAGCACTTTTTGGGAGCAATTGTTAGGTACATAGATTTTGAAGTCAAGAGTCCCAGAAGAAGTCTAATGTCTTTTGCAATAACAACAGAATAAAAGAATCAACAGCAACCATGCTATTGAAGGAACTGATGAAATACAGATAAATATGCCTTGAGGGTCTGCTTCTGAATGAGTTCATTGGAAGTGCATCTCATTGGTCTTAGCCAAGCAGTTAATTCAACAGAATCTAAATCTGTCTGTTTGGGTTCAAAATCTACCAAAGATTAAATAGCCAACTGATCACCAAAGTCAAAATCTGTTTATCTTGGACTACACACATCTAAAACCTACCAAGGATAATTTTCATTTTCTATAAAAATGCACCTTGATATATGCTCATGGTTAATTTGATTAAAAGCTCATCAGAGTTGTGTTTAGCCAAGTGGTTGTCATAACAGAATCACAATCTGTTTCCAAAGCAATACAACAGGTTTGAAACCTGTTCAATGTTACATTTTTTCTATTAGAACATGCCTTGAACATTTGCTCATAGACAGCATCTCAGACACTGGTTTTCATTAGTCTAAGTCAAGTTGTTATCAGAGTCAAATCTGTTTCTCTTGGACTGTGCAGGTTCAAAACCTGCCAATGATGACATTTTTATTCCATGAAATCACACCTTAACATTTCCTCATGAATAATATTTTTTTTTTCCTGCTGGAACACACCTTGAGATGGACTCATGTGTACTTTCCTGAGAGCACCATCTCACTGGTGGTATGATTTCATAAAATAAAAATGATATCATTAGCAGATTTCAAACCTGCATACTCCCAGAGAAACAGATTTTGACTCTGATAATCCCTTGCAATTTCATCTTTAGCAGGTTTTGAACCTATGCAGATAGATTTGGATTCTATCATATGAACTGCTTGACTAAGACCAGTTAGATGCCCCTCCAATAAGCCCATTCAGAAGTGAATCCTCAAGGTACATTTACATGCATTTTGTCAGTTCTAATATTATTTTCCAACATTCCTCTTACAGATATTTGCAAAAATGATGTCAGTATACATGATTTGAGTGAATAAGGAAATTAAAGAAAAGAAAAATCACCACAACCACGCCTGTCTCAACACACTTTAACTTATCATTATCATATATTATGAAGTCTCTATTAGCCATGCCTTCAATTTTTGATGAGTTATCTAATGACACTACTATCAAGCCTGAACACGAAACATCTGCTCTGATGGATAAGCCTAACATAATCCCTCAACTCAAAGACCTTCAAGTTCCTGTACCTGCTGTAGCAAAGAAGAAATGTGGCCAACCTCGAAAGCAGCAAGTTTCTGGTAAAACTTAGGTTGCTGCTTTATTTACACTTCTGAAGTGCTGGTTGGCAGTTCCTACTACCTCTGAGCCTATGGGGCACAGTCTACAAGCAGCACCTGCTTCTGCTTTAGAGGCTATCGTGAATGAACCATAGAAGCCTAAGATCACATACTTTCTAGTCATGTTTCCAGAAGATCAACTATGAAAGCCCAAGAAACAGTGGAAAGCCATTAATGCTTTTCTTTGCCTAAGTTCAGACCAAGAGTTTGACACCCTCAAAACACAAAACCTTCAGAAAATTTCTGAGAAACTCAAGCCAAAGACACTGGCTTACAAAAACTACCCAGTTGAGTGGTATAATACCCAGCTTTGGACTGCTTCACTTGTATTATCTTCAACTGATGACTACAAATTCCTTCTTGAGCATGCACTGAAATGAGAAGCCCCAACTACAAACATTGTTATCCAAGCACTGCCCACAATGAAGGTGGTGTATTTCAGTCAATATATGCGCTGCTAATCTGACTTTTCAAAGAAATCAAAGCACAGGAGAAACCATAATGAATCAGGAGACGAAAACCAGAGCAATGATGGTGGCAGCAAGAACAGCAGTAGTGAGGATGAAGAAATCTAAAAAGGATGTGAGTATCTTTATATGCTGTGCTTTCTGTTGATAGATGAACTTGCATTACAAAAAAAGTCAAAATCTTTTGTCAACACAATCTTGAATGAGAAGATCACATTGAAGATTGTTCAGCTACAGAACGGATGGTTGTGTTTGAAGGCTGGATGCTCTAGCAACTATTGTTTCATTCACCCTGAGCATTCTGACCATTTTCTGCTTGGACATGAGTAACTCTCAGTGTGGACATCAGCCTGGGTATTTTATTTTCATTTGACTCTCCTTGTACTGTGTCCATTACTCATCATTTGACCACTAGAACAAGGACAAAGGTCCTACCAACCTTGAAACTCCACCTAACCATCTAAAATTCAACTTTATCCCTGGTTGGAAATCTGAGGTGTCACCACCCCTGCTTTAAGGTGGAGATTCTTCATTGTGCTTATTCAAGTGATTG